TGCAGCAGAAAACTCCACCGTGCAAAGAAGCTGCAATTTAGCGGGAACATAATTCAGTGGTGCCAAAGCACACACAAAACAAAGCAAATTGTCAAAGCAAATCCCGGGACGTTCTCAAGCAAATCCCGGGACGTCATTCTCCCCCTGGACTCGGCCTTAGTGAGGCCGCAGCTGGAGTACTGTGTCCAGTTTTGGGCTCCACAATTCAAAAAGGATGTGGAGAAGCTTGAGAGAGTCCAGAGAAGAGCCACGCGCATGATCAGAGGTCAGGGAAGCAGACCCTACGATGACAGGCTGAGAGCCCTGGGGCTCTTTAGCCTGAAAAAGCGCAGGCTCAGGGGTGATCTGATGGCCACCTACAAGTTTATCAAGGGTGACCACCAGCATCTGGGGGAACGTTTGTTCACCAGAGCGCCCCAAGGGATGACGAGGTCGAATGGTCAAAAACTACTTCAAGATCGTTTCAGGCTGGACATAAGGAAGAACTTCTTTACTGTCCGAGCCCCCAAGGTCTGGAACAGCCTGCCACCGGAGGTGGTTCAAGCGCCTTCATTGAACACCTTCAAGATGAAACTGGATGCTTATCTTGCTGGGATCCTATGACCCCAGCTGACTTCCTGCCCTTCCCTGGCTCCCAGCTTCCTTGATCAGCTAATCCCAGTATTTACGCTAGCTCTCTATCCCATTCTCTTATTCATTCACTCCCAGTCTTCTCACAATTCCAAGTTTTTCTCCACTTCCTCCTCCATAGCCTTCCTCTCAGATTTCATCCCAGTGTCCTATTTTTCCTCCTTCCAGTCAGCCTTTTTCTCTTCTGCCTTTGATTCCTGGGGCTTCCTCTTTCATTCTAGTGCACCAGGGGCACTTATTGAGAATACAGCACAGACAGGATTCCTTCTCTGAGTTTTCGGGCTCAGCCCTACCCTAACCTGGAGCAGCTGGGGTAGTCAGAGAAAGAAGGTTGTTTCCACAGAGATGTGTCACCAAAACCAAGCAAATCACTGAATTTCCCTGCACTCCTCCTGCCCCATCAGAATAGTGGGGCATGTGGATCTCAAAGTACTTTATGGAAGGTGGGAAAGCATTATTGTCCCTATTTTACATCTGGCCTAACTACACAATCCTAAGCAGTTCAATGAAAAGCACCATGAGTTAGAAAGTCGAAGTCCTAGGCCTTGTCTACATGGGAGTTTACATGCTGCAAATTTGACGATTTATGAGAGTTGTGTCCATCCAGCCAGCTGCAGCACTACTGCAGTCTGCATGATTTTTTCCCCTCATACAACATGGGTTTTCTCTATGCTAATCACTTAGCATTCAAGCAGGTATTACACGACAACTTGTCCTGTTCTATGCATTATGTGATTTTTCCCACTGCACATTGCCGGATAAATTGGAGAAGCCAGTTAGAAGCAACTGTACTGTGGGCCACCTGACAAATTTCTGCAATTCCCTTCCTGCCATCCTACTGCCTTCCTGCCATCCTATTTTTTTTTTGCCTGGCCAGAACCACTTTCAAACTGTTATCATCCGGCACAGACAAAATAATGTTCCAAGCTGCAAGGCTCGTAGACACTGCAGCAAGAGGTGGTAGATATGTGTCTGGCATCTTGCCACTAAGAGTTTCAGCTTTGCCAGTTGACCATTTTTGGCAGCTGCTGAGCCAGTGGTAGCAGATGAGACAGTGGAAATGACACTGACCGGCTGCTTGTGCAGGACCACTTGTTGGATCAACAATCACTGACTGCTATTAAAGGATCATGCTGCAGACATGAGATGATCACCAGTGGCTGCAGAATTTCAAAGTATTAAAAGGCACTTCCAGTCTGATGCAGTGTCTTGGGAAGATACCCTGTTCAATATACGAGTACTCCTCACAGTTACAGTAGGTCCCAGTGTCAGTGTCCTCATTCACTATTGCACTGTACACAGTAAAAAGTGTGGATTGATAGTGGCCATCCACAGGTACAATCTTATCTAGCTCCTCATAGCATGGGCAGGTGCCATGAGCAGTTTCCTCCTCTCAGACTCTCATGAACCAAAACTGCCAGGTGCCACAGGCATGACCTCTTTGCCACTCCTTCAGCAATAGCTTCATAATCTTCCTCACACCAGCATTGCTTCACAAGGCTTTCCTGACACTTTTCTTCCCAGAAGATAAAAATATCAGAACCTCTGTCCAGTTTCAAGTATTCCTACAAGACACGGTGTAGTGTTACAGTGCTGTAATGCACAAGGCACGGTTTAGTATTGCAGTGCAATGATGCAGACACTAGGAGATGCAACATTAAAAGGTCCATCCTGGCTGCACACCAAGAACATGTCCAGATGAGTGAGCACATGCATTTCCCCGAGGACAAATAGAAGTGGCACATAGATGTGCCGCTGCTACTTGTCCCCAGAGGATGCCTTTGCATGCAGGCTCTGGCGCATAGCAGATTGCCCCAAGTGGGTTAAGAGAGGTTGAGGCCAGCACCTGGGCTGGCCACAGCAGCCTTACTGAGGGACCTGGGGCCCCCCGGGACGGCAGCGGTGGTGATCCAAGTGTGTGGAGCCTGGCCAGCAGATGGAGTATGGCTCTTGTTTCAGGCAGTGCGCACTGCAGCCCCGTGCGCTGCCCTGCTTTTGTTTTAAACTGTTTTTTTTAGATACTGGGATTTCCCAGTAATTAATTTTGGCTCTACACTGCATATTTGCAGCATAGACAACCTTTTCATGTGCATCATGTGCATTTTGCACTGCCTCAGAAACCTTTGAGGCATTGCAAAGCACACATGAGTGCTCATCTGGATGCGCCCAAACATTTGAAAACAGAAGAGAGTCCAAAACAGTACAGTCTAGGACACTAAACTAAACTGAGAGAGTGGCCTTGGCAGGACGCAAAACCCTATGAAATGATTGTTCAAAGATTGCCACACTAGCACAAAGTAAAAATGCAGCCAAACTAACATCATCCCATACTAACTAAAGCATTCTGTGAACTTAATATGTTTTCAAACAAATGTGTGGAAAACATCTGGCTAGTTAATTCAGTTTAAGAATGACCTCTTATGGACACAGGTCATTCCAGTGAGAGCAAACATCAGTTAACTGGAAAATGAACTAATCCCCTGCCATCACCCTTCTCTGACATAACTAAGCCCTGCATCTCTGAAATCAGTTTTTATTTCTAGCTCACTACAAACTTTTTTGCTAATCTTTCAAAATCACTTCAGTTCTTTTTCAAAGTTACTCTACCTAGAAAATAGAAAGCTAATGGCCAACTTAACTTATTTGTGAAAGATGCAATTACTTTGACATCTGCCTTTCATTTGTGTCTTGGTCATTAAGAGATTTAATTACAGCAGCATAAAAAACTGCAAATTTTTCTTCAAAAAAGTAGCAAGGTAAAGAGGCATAAAATTAACAGCTTATTTCTGTTTTTTACAGAACTGAAAGAAACCAAAACAGCAATATCAATAAATAAATAAACAAACTAACACAACAATAACAGCATCCTTGCAAATGTTTGGTTCTAGCTATGTTTTATGCTGGAGGCCATCATTTTCTGAATGATTCTCTGAGGGGCAGGGAGAGCCATGAAGTATGCTGTGCAGAAATGCATCCAGGACTATTCCATAAAGCTGCTAAAATCCCAATCCTCTTTCACCTGTCAGCACATGGAATATATGCCACTTTTAAAAATAAAATATGTATTTCATCTTTTTTCTTCCAGAACTATTTTTATCTTTTAGAATTAAAGAGTTCTCAAAAAATCTAAAGCAAATTTTACACAATCAAATCAGTGTTAAAATAAAGCATCAGATAAGTAAAAAACAAATGCACATTTCTCTATTGAGACACACAATATACAAGCAATGCAGGACTGAATTTCAATGTTTCCCATCTTATCTATTGGTGCCATTAAAAAAAAAAAATCAATGGTGTTATAACAGACAATACTTCCTCAATGGTCCAGACTAGGGTAAAAAAAACAACCCTACATTCTAATCTATTATGTTTCAGTTATGTATATATTATATTGCATATACAATTATATTGTATATGTATGCAATATACAATATATTCATATACTATATAATATATACATAAACTGGAACTATAATACATATATAGCAAGGTGAAATAAAATTGAACTTAGTCATCTAAAACCACTTAGGTGGAACAGGATATGGCCCATTTTGTGACTAACTTCCAGGTCAGATCTCAGTATTTCTTCTTTCAAATTCTAATTTCTCGCAGTAACAAAACAAACACTTACCCTGTTTCTTATCCTGTAAATTTCATGTTTGGTAACTGCAGTGCTTCAGTTGAGTCAGACTAATACCAACAATTTCTTCATGACCTTCTTTTGCTAATGTTAAAGTAAAATGTTTGGATTTTAAGTTCACATGGAGGAAGAATTTCTAAAAATGGATGGAAACAATTTTCCAATACTTTTTACAAGCAAACATATACATTTTCCTGCTTTTAGACTTTGAGGGTGACTAATGTGAAGTTGCCCATTCTGAAATACAGTTCTCTATGGATGCATCTACACATGCATTTACTCCAGCCTAGATTTACTGTGCTGTAAGCTATTAAACAGTGCATGTGCCTAAACGAGATGCTTAATTTTGCACAAGCATAGTTTACTGTGAAGTAAGCATGTGCGATTACACATGCACATGCTTACTTCACAGTAAACTTCCCTAATACTGATTAGGGAAAGTATCAAATGCAAGTAGCAAATTTACTCAACATTAGTAATGGTGCCACAGCACTTGGGTAGATGCCAGTCACCAGGTGGTGGGTGATAGCTCCCTGCCCCTAGGACCTGCCTACTGCCAGGGCAGGCTCTGCCACACGAGCCCAGGTGGGAACTATGTCCCCCTGCCCCAGCAGCAGAGAGCTCCAAGCCCCCTGCTCCTAGATGGTGATCAGAGAGCAGGGCCTGGGAGATCCTTATCTCACAACCTAAACTCTGCAGTTGCAGGGTTCAGGATGGGAGACCCTCGTCTCCCAGCCTGAGCTCCACAGTCGTGTGGCTTGGGCTGGGAGATCCTGGTCTCTGCAATCATGGAGGTAGGGCTGGGAACAGGCAGGGAGCTTGTTCCCAGCCCCTGCTCTGCGACTGCAATTGCAATCACAAAGCAGGGGCTGGGAGCTCCCTGCCTGATAACAGTTCCCTGCCCAGCTGGAAGCTGGCTGGGACCTGCCCTTGACTAGGACAACTCCCAGCCAGCCCCAGGCTATGTGGGGAAGCAATGCAGCCTGGAGGTAGATGGAGACTGTCCTGTTTCAGGCAGTCCCCAACTAGCTCCAGGCTGCATGTGCAGACTTCCCTGCACAGCCCAGGGCTGGCTGAGAACTGTCCCAGTCAGCGGCAGGTCCCAGCTCCATGCCCCAGTTGGGTGATCTAGGCACAGGGCTTGGAAAGAGCTGCAGGGGCGAGGTAGGTCCCAGCCTCCTGCCCCAATCTGCAGGTGGGGCACCTAGCTAGCTGCTAGCTACCCTGCCAGTGGATCAGGGCAGGGGGCAGGGACCTGCCCAGCCCCTACAGCTCTTTCCAAGCCCCATGCAGCTGATCAGGGAGCCAAGGCCATGTATAGATGCACCCAGTAACGGTTTTTGGGTAGGTGCCTAAACATCTGGGGATTAGGAAGCAGACTTGCTGCCAGGTCCCTGCAGCCCTGCAATGCACCCCTGTGGCCACTGCGGGGAGCTCCAGACTCCGGCTACAGCTGCCAGCGCCTGACAGCCATTTGTAGAAGCCAGACCTGCTCTCTGGCCAGATCCTCCCCTGCCCAGAAGCATTGTGTCCAGTGTAGAGGCAGCTCCCTCCTTGCCCATTCTGTCTCCCTGTGTCATGGCTGCTCCAGCCCCCGCCCTTGACAGTGACAACCAGCACCCTACTGCTCCAGCTCCTGCTCCTGGCAGTGACGACCAGTGCCCTGCACTCCTGTTGGCCATGGTGCTGGCTATCCTGGCCCCATGCCCAGGCCCCAGAAGAGCTGCCCACCAGTGGAGGCCAAGGCACCAGGCATGGGAGGCCCTAGCTGACCACCTCCTCCTGCACTCTCAGATCTAGCCCACCCAAAACACTGCCCATGCCCCACCCCCTGTACCACTCACTGCTGACACGTGTCAGAAGAGCAAGTTTTTATTTCTTTCACATACAACAGACCACCCCCCCACCCCCTCCTCCAACAATAAAAAACCTTCTTCCCCCTAGAAACTACATACAAGGTGTGTATTTTGTGGAGTCCCAGAGTGGGGAGCCATGGGGTGGGGGCACCTAGGGGGCAGAGCCCTGGGACAGGCAGCCAGCACCCCACCCTCTAGCCTTTTCCCTGCAGGTCCACAAGCCACAGCAACTGCAGCATGCTCATCCAAGAGTGATGGCACCTGGTGCTCATCCAGGGTGGGCACCTCCCCTCCCAGCTGCCAGAGGCCAGGCCCATCAGGCCAATGTCCAATTCTGTTCCAGGCAGCTCTGGCTCCATGTCCATGTGAAGCCAGGGTGGGCCTGGGCCCAGGAGGGTGGCAGTTGACCCAGAGTGGGGGCCAGGCCAGGGGCTCCTGGTGGCTGGAGATGGCAGAGGACCTCCTCCCAGACCCAGGCAGGGGCCTACTGCAGGGCGTGGCTAGGGACAGGGGACAGGCAGCAGCAGGCATGAACCAAACCACCAGGCCCAGGATGGTGTCCAGGGTCCAGCGGTCATCGTCCATGGCCTGCATGGCCTGGCAAAAGATCATATTTTGATCCCAGAGGACCTGCATCTGTTCCAGCTTCAGGGCCCAGAGCTCGGCCTGGAACACCTCCTCCTATGCAATGTCCTCCTGCTGCCACCTGTTCTAGTGGGCCAAGTCATCCTCCCACCAGGCCCATGCAACCTTCTTCCACTCCTCAGCCACTGTCACCAGCTGCCAGAGGAGGAGGGTTCCATCCATGATGAACCTCTGGCACAGCCGGTGCATCCAAAAGGCCCTAGCAGTGGGTGGCAGCATCCCTGTCAGCAGTCCCACTGGCCCCTGTGGCTTCTCCCCTACGTCCAGATGCTGGACCTACACAGTCATGAGACAGAGCCTTTTGTGAGAGTTTGCAACATTTCAGAGATAAGATGCTCTGCACCAGGGGCCATGCACTGCCCAGCCTCAGACTAGGGGTCAGCCATGAATGGGATTGCCTAGCCCATGGTGCCTGGGCTCGGGGTTCATGGGGCTCTGGGACAACTGGGAGGAGGAACTGGCCATGCCCCTGCCCTCCCTGCTGGGGGCCTCTCTGGGGAGGTGCCATGGGGCCAGCCCCCTGCCATGCCGCCACTGCATCCTGAGCATGTCTCTGTTATGTGTGATGAGCTGTTTTTGCAGGAAGAGGGGTACCCAACCCACTACGCCCTGCTGCTGCTCATGGTGCCCTGAGCACACCTGCGTTCCTGTTATGGGGCCTTCAGCTCTGACAGTATGGGGGGCCTGGGCTGCCCTGCAACCTCTGTCACTGCCTGGAGGGATACCTGTGGCAGCACTACACATCCCTACCCCCTGCTGCTGAGGAGGTGATTGCAGCTGGCATTGACACCTTCCTCAGGATGTGAAAGACTCGTGCCTGCCTAGCTGCAGGGGCACAAGATGATCAGCTAAGTTATGCACTGTGTCCCACCTCTCTGCAGGGGGCAACCTGGGGGCAGGGGAGTGTAGGCAGGCCAGGCAGGGAGGGGGGTAGGGACTGGGATGGCAAGGGCCCTCTCCCCCAGTGCGGGGCTTATCATGTGTTTGGGGCTGGCGTGGCTGTCAGTTCGGTGTGGTCCTCCCAGCAAGCAAAGGCGTGAGGCTGCATCCAGTGTCCTCAGCCCACATGACATGGTGTGCAGGCCAGGGGCCTCCCATGGGGAGGAGCTGGCACTACTGATGGCCAGCAGTGACATGGCTGGCTATTCTTCATGGCTGGCCCTGGGGCTGTGCAGCTGCTGCGACAGGGCTTCCTGAGCTGTTGGTGGAGGGAGCAGCTGGGGAGATGGGTGGGATGGGATGCTGAACACCTGAAGGTCCCTCCTTTGCTGACATATCAACAGAGGTGCCAGGACAGAGTCGGGGCTCCAGCAGGCTGCCCATGCTGGTATAGACCGCATGGTTGTGGCCTGGGTCCCAGGGCACTAGAATGGCAGTCAGCTGCTGCATAAAGAGCATGGTCTTGCAGGCACAGCCAAACTGACGATTGTGCTCAGTCACAGTCACCCACTGTGCCCACAAGGCCTTGACCTTTATGTGGCACTACCATACCAACAAGTTGTGCTCTCGCTTTCACATCCCACACAACAGGGCCACATAAATGTGGGTGTTGGAGCGTCCACTCCACTCAAAATGGCTCAGTACCTCTGCATTGCCCCAGAGCACCACAATGTTGCCAATCTCCTCCTTGCTCCAGTTGGGGCCCCAGGTGGAGGCACAGGCATTTGCGCATGGGCGGTGCCAGGCCTGGATGGGAAGGAGGATGCCATGCTGCGTCCTTTACTGGCTCTCTGGGACCCCACACAGCTTGCCTTCTCTTGCCGGCCCTGGGGAAGTTGCCAGCAGCACCCATCGCAGAGGCACAGCAAAGGACTAGCAGCCATGTGGCAGAGGCTATGCCCCACAGCACCTGCAGGCACAGGGCAGGCTTCTAGAGGTGTGCAGCAGGGAGGTGGTGCTGGCCTGCAGGCAGCCCTAGAGAGCTGACAGGGCTGGCCAGGGGCTGCAGCAGCCTGCAGCCCTGTTCAGCACCCATGTGCCCTGATGGCAGTATCCTGGCAGCTGTGTAGCAGCTCAGTGCCAGACAGCACTGCTGGGGTGGTGAGAGGCAGGCACACCAGCGCTGTGGCCTGCCCAAGGGGACACACAGGGCCTATAGTGCCCTCAGGCTCCCTGTGTTGTGTGCCCCAGGGAATAAAATGTCCACAGGCGGGTCCTGCAGGCCAGCACCTGGGAGGAGCAGGAGAGACTCCAAGGCTGCAGCCCTGGGTCTGGCCTCAGGCCGGCCCCCTAGTGGCTGGGCAGACCCAGCAGCAAATTTGCTGCCAGGTTGCGTCTACACATGTGTTACTGTGCAGTTACTAATCACATTTAAATTTGTTACCTGCATTTGCAGGTAGCAAATTTAATTGTGATTAAGGGTTGTTAGTGCACAGTAAGTGCATGCATGTATAGATGTATATGCTTACTGCACAGTAAACTAGGCAGCTGTGAAGTACCATGTCTCATGTAGATGCCCCCATGAGCATAAACAGATGCTACCAAATGAAGCAGATCAGGTGTAGCAGGATGTAGTTAATCTGCTTCATTGGATGAAGCACGCATTGCCCATTGTGCTGCATTGGCCGGGGGCCTGATCCTGCAGGACAGCAAGCATCTTATTTCCCACTCATAGACACACCTCAGAGATTTCTCAGGGTGCAGGGAACATGAGCTTTCCCTGTTTACAGAGACATGCTCCAGGGAATCGCTGAGGCAATCTCTACAAGCAGGAGAAGCATGGGTTCCCCTTCAGAGATGCACCCCAGAGACTGCCTGGGGAACATCTTTGTAAGAGAGGAAAGTGGGACAGGAGCTTCTGGGACCACCCATGCAGGATTGGGCCCCTTAAGCTCCAGGAGAGCCTGCCTAGGATGGCTGGAGAGTGTGGGCAGCCCTCACTCTCACGCCATAAAGCAACCAGACATATGCCACAATAAAGTGGCAGAAACTATTATTACCTTTATCACACCAACAAAGTTTGGGCATTTGTAGCATGACAAGGGGCATGCATATCTGTTTTCTTGGGCTTTGGCCACTGTAAACATTTTATGACAGCACAAAGATGATGTCTGTTTCCATCATATAACAGGGACAGCCAATCTGCAATGCATGTGCCATGAGTGGCACCAACAGCCTGTGTAAATACGGCATAGCAGACTAGGGAGAGAACAGGCAGCACAGCAGCAGATAGGGCAGGAAGTAGAAAGCAGAGTAGCAGATAGGGCAGGGAGCACAGGGCAAGGAGCAGAAAGCAGAGCAGATCAGGCAGGGAAAAGGGACCGGACTGGCACTTAGGGAGAATGCAGGGCTTAATTTGTGGCACGCCTGCCAAAAGGTTGGGCCCTGCTGTTCTATGGTATTTTCCCTCTTTACTTAAAAAATATAATAATTTCTTCATGGTATACAAAAGGTGTCTTGTTAATTTCATACATGTTCTCTCTCCTCTTACCCAGGACATCTAAAAAACCACAACAGGAGAAATGAATTCCTTTTCCTGAGCCTCTTCCCAGGATGCTATGTAAGAATGTTGTGGGCTATCCAACAGCATGAGTTTTTAAAAATACAAAATTTTAAAGCTGTCTGAATGTTATCCCAACTGAAAACAGGAAGAAAAACTTATGGGAAAAAAGTGTTTCTTCCTTGGGGCCAGGTATGGAAAGCAAGGAGTTTGAATTAATATCCTCTGCAGATTAAGGTAAGTGTTTAACTTCAACTCCTCCTCCACAGTTTTGTCCTGTGTCCAGTTTTGTCTTAGGACAAATATTTAAGTAGTCTTCAAATACATATGTATTCAGGAGTAGGTAACAGAAATTTATGCCACACTAGCACTTGTTGTCTTTCTTATTCCAAAGACTGCTTTCTATCCTGATCTTTTCTTTTATTCCATCTCCTTAGGCTTCTAGTGTTCTTACTTTTCCCCCCTTCACATGAAGTTTACTACTAGTTACTTTCCCTTTTCCCATTTTTTCCTCCTCCTTCAACTGTAGATCTTTCTCACCCACTCATCTACTTGTTCATTCTTTACCATCACTTCACGTATCCTTTTCCTCATTCATTCACTTCCCTTACCATCCTCACTAACCTGCCATTTCCCGAAGGAGCAGACTTCCACAACTATGCTTTGTTTTGAGCCTATCCCTATTAATTTGTGGTAAGAGCAGATGTTTGTAGAAACAGATGTTGGATGACTCAGCTGCTTTACTACAGAGAATACAATGGGCTTCATACGTGGCACTTTCCTACAACTGAGAACCAAAAAGGGGATTCAGCTTTGGTTACTCCTACTTTATATCATAGCAAAGTTCACAATCTCAAGGTACATCTGCAGTAAGTTAACGTATTTTCAGCAGCTATGATGTAGAAAAATCAAATAAACCCATTACTTATTTGAAGCCATAGAGTTTTGTTTCTTAGTACTAATTTAAACAATACTAAAATTATCCCAAAATATATATCAACCATAAAAAGAAGTTTTAAAAAACAAACAAACATTCATAACACATTCTTTCTTCACACCAATGAAAAGCTGTGATAAAATTCACTAAGTAAAGTAATTTGTTGAAGAGAGAAGGATAAAAAAAATCCAGAGACACATGATTCATTTCTAGTACACAGCACACTAGTCTAAGTAATGTTAACATTTAAAAATATTAGTTTAAAACAGGGTCTTCTCTCCCTGTCAAAAGGAGTCAAATATAAATGTTTTACCTAAAATAATTTAAAATGTTCATCAAAATGTACGCACAAAAACACGTGGATTGTCTTTTTCAAGATTTAAATGAAAAAAAAAATGAAAAAATATTTTTTACCTAAAGACAGAAGTGCAAGTGCAAAAGTCCCATGAATCTTAATGATCAATGCATGTTGCCTCTGTGTCACAGCATGAACTAACAAAACTTAAAACAAAGCTCAGAAGCGACTGTAAAGGAAAAGGGCTCATGAAAACAGTTACTACACTAGGTGAATCGTATACTAGGTGGATGAGCTGTTGGTGGATAAAAGGCTGTTATAGATCTGATTATAACACTTCACATCATTTTCATCTAGAGAGGCACATATTAAAATGCAGTTCCCTCCTACAAACTGACTGGTACCTCTCCCAATGTTGCTTTCACAATTTATTGTCCCTCAACAACTCCTGTTTCAGTATATAAGGAAATAAGTTTTGTCTTTCTAAATGACATCCCTGCAAGCTAAACCTGGAATTAAAGTGAAGCTGGATTTTTTTCAACCACATAGTTTCACAATTAACCAAGAATTAACAGGCTAAAATTCTGCCTTCAGGGACAAGTGAAGGAAGGAAGGAAGGAAGGAAGTGAAAGACAGCATTAAAAGCGTGGTTACACAGCAACATTTGGAGTTTAATCTGAAGACTGTAATTGTATAGCTACCACTAGAAGCACAATAGGGCCAGCCCAATGTGCTACTCTGATGATGCATTAGATGGAAACATTTCAGCTCAGTTTTAGAGCCCACAGTACTTGGCTGTTACAGAAGTGACCTCCAGCCCAATGAAACACTCTCAACATGCATTCCCACAAAGATATTCTGGCATCATCACTTTTCCTGACAGGAACAAACCTGAGTGTCAAAAAGACAAAAAAAATCCCCTTCACACAAACCTATCATCTCCATTTTTGCTAGTTGTTTCTTTTTGAGGGTATTATGGGGTGTTACATAATGCCTACATTGGGTAGGAAATATGACCCTCGCATTATCTCAGTTCTCTCAACTCTCAATTCTGTGCTTCAGGCCATACAGATATCTTTCTTTTCCTTCTGAAGTAAGTGACAAGTTCAAGGCTTGCTCTTTATATTTCCCCAAATCCTTTATTTTACCTTTACAAGAACATTCCTAACACACTTTTCTTTATTCTGAAAAAAAAATTAAATATACTTTTTAAAACATTTAAAAAAAAAATCAAGCAAACCAGATTGCAACTTAATTGTTTATGCTCTCCATAACTAAAGGACTTATTTTGCTTTGAAGAAGGTATCAACTGTTTCTTTCCTTGACAGTGGTTTGCTACCAAGGAAACCCTAACCACAATTCATACAAATTTTATTTTGGGTTTGAGTCTGCTCTCACACATCTTCATTATCTCAACAACAGAGCTTTAACTATATGAATGAAAGCTTCCCCAGAAGATAATCAAACAAAACCCAGCAATTCATTCTATGCTGCTTGCTCAAGTTCATGCAGAAAACATTTTACAGGACAGCAAGTCTAAAAAAACAGGCTACATTTCAAAAATATTCCCCAGAAAGGATGCTAGTGATTTAACACACACACTCACAAAAAAAAGATTTATGTAATCGTAAGTCCTAAAAACAAAAGATGAATCTAGGACAGACGTCATGCTTTCAAATTAAAAGTAGTTACTGAAGACACCCTGCAGTCTCAGATCCCAGTTAAGATCGCCTGTGTCATACCTCGTGCTCATGTAGTATCCTTAGCCATCAGTGCCAAACAAGTTGAAACAGTATGTATGGAAATGTTGAAGTCAATGGCATATTGTGACAATTATTGAGTGGTATATTTCAAAACGGCAGTAGTCAGTGCAGCTGCATCTTTCCTTAAGTATTCTGAATTAGTTGTTTCCTTCATTAGGAAGCTGGGCCTATCTATGTGTTATTGAAAATCATAGTTTAACTCTAATATAGATAATAACATATCAGATAATAAATAAACCATATATTTGCATATAACCAGGTGCACTGTAGCCTTATAATTCTCTTTCTCCAGGACACAGTTTCAAATAGGAAACCTGTGTCATTCAATGGAATTCAATCTGCAGGATAGGAAATCTCCTGCAACATGTTAGATTTTAAGGCTCCAGGAAGGTACTTCTCATTTTTTGTAAGTTATATAACTACAGTCCATTCATGCCCAACCTGCAGTTGTACGAGGTGACATAGGTGTATTTTCTGTTTGCTTTCTTACCTTGTTCTCTGCAGAAGTGTACTGTATCTTTAATGTATCCATGGCTCTGATCATAGCTTGCATGGCAGTAAATATGTTTTGATAAACCAATTTTGTGAAGCTTTTCCTGTCCTCTTCTGTGTAACCTGATCCATGAATAATCCTCATCTGTTTAATAAAGGTACTTTTTCCACTTTCTCCTGTGCCTACAAGACAACACAGTAAGAGCTCAGAGTGAATAATGCTCATAAACCATATCAGTGAAAATTATTGAGTATACAGCAATAAGTGTATCAATAAAAAGTCAACATTTACTTTTAATGAAGTAGAATGAATAAGCAATGCATACAGGCCCATGCAAATTTAAAAATCAATAAGCAGTTGAAGGATCATTTCTCAACCTATACAAGAAAAGTTTTCATAATACCCTGTAGTTTTGTAAAGGAATCAAATCTCTGTCCCTGGCTCTGGGTAAGCAATGACTGTGAATAGCCTGCAAGAAAAGAGTTTACAGATGCAAAGCAAACTTCTTTCAGTTCTTGCCTCTAGGCTAAGTACAAACACTCAAAAAGCCCAAGGCTGAATTGATTCAATCTTCGCAGGTTAGTCTAAGATGTGCACATTGACCTGATAAACAAATGAACATATTCACTTTTGATTCTAGAAATGCAGCCACATGCCTGCTGTGGGTCAGACCAGAAGCAAAGGGGTGCTAGCCCACCCACCCTGTGAGGCGTAGTTTGCAGGGAAGCTGAGGAACTATGAGTTAATTTGAAGCTAGAGGGGATCTGGGACAGAAGTTCAATAAAACAAGTTAACCTAAATCAGTTGTCTGATACTACATCCATCTGGGTTTATCTTTAACTGGTTTCAGCTATTTTGAAAGCAGTTTACATGCACTGAACTTCTGTTGTGTTACAGATTTGAACCTCTTTCTGATCACTTATACTGGTTTATGTGTAATTTCTGTCCCTAGCCCAAAGATTATCTAGTTTAGTCATATTTCATTTGCCTTCAGTTCTAAAAAGGAAAGAGCAGGCCTTGGATTTCTCTATTGTTTCCCAATTAGTGTTTCTCTATCATTCAGTGTTGAAGTTACATGATGAAACAAAGCTATACCTATGCCAACAAATACTTTCCAGTTAAAAACTCATAAATGCACACCAAAAAGCAGCAAGATAGAAAGGGAGAAAACTTTTGGCTGGTTGATTAAGAGTTAATATATTTCAATTGGGTTTTAGGCTTCCCATTCACTCAATCAATAAACAATGTTTACCGTAATACAGAATCACTATTAAAAATCTTTCAGTTGTTCATACCCACTGCTACTAGAGGTCTGAAAATGTATCAGCGTGATGCAGAAAGAAAATGGTCCATTAGATTCATCTTCAAATATACCAAACAAAAAGCTGTTTGTTAAATATATATATATATATATATATACACACACACACACACACACACACACACTTGGTACAAGTCTACACTTTGGCATGAAAGAGATACAATTTTAATGCTTGAACTGTTACTGAACATAGTCTTTCTTAACACATTTGATGCTCTTTGTGAAGGTTTATATGCATTTTTGTTACATATTTACTACATATCCTGTACAATGGTTTCTGTCATTTATAGCCATTTTTCTTGGGAAGGGGGGGTACGACGACCCATACATCAGCTATTCTGCTTGTGTCCGTCCTTTCCACCTTGATATGGGAAAACAGAGTCTATAAATACCTATTTTTAAAAATATCTTCTACTAAAGACTTTAAAGTAGCAATTGCTTGTTTGTTATTCAAATGAATAGTCATCTACAGACCCTACTCATAACATTACTAGGAGCAGTTGTACTCTTCAAACAACAGCAGCTACAGGAATCCTTATCAGAGGAGGCGACATTCTCTTAAAAGACAGAGAGAGAGAGAGAGGGAGAGGAAGGGAGAGAAATATTTTTTATAGTTCATTAAAAAATATTTCCAGCAAAAGGAAAATAATACATTATTCAATAATTGTTTCAGTTTTTGTTGTTGATTTGGACTACAGTGAGGAACATTAAAATGTAGACTACATAGAATATTAGAGATTTTGAAGTTACATATGACTTGACTTTGGTATAATATTGATCATTACATATTACAGCTCCCAAATAACTAGTTCTGGGAAGCCAGTTTTAAAAAGAAATGTCAATATAAACAAAATCTCAATATTTTTAAACTTAAAAGAAAAAAAACTCCATTCTTCAACTGTTAGCACTTCCCTCATTTTAAGCAATGTTATATTATAGAAATCTATTACAAATATTATATTTTTATACACAAATACACACATACACATACATGAATGTTTCGACCCAATTTGAACCATGAGCCACATTCTTAGGCAGACATGTAAGTAAAGGCATAATGGGATCTGATATATGATCCCCACAATCAGGCGGCCTGCCATGACATACATGCATGGCAGGAGGCATGATTGTGGGATCCCCCTTCAGATCCCATCACACCTTCCTGCTGGTGCAGGGGGAGCCTAAGATCATGATCCTGGGGTCCTCCTGTACTGGCAAGTAGCAAGTTCCCGCAGCTGGGAGTCCCATCAGATGACAGGTCTCCTAGCCATAGGGACAGGCCCTATAGTTGGAAGTCTCAGTCAGGCCACACATTCAATTAATGACATGGTAGGAACCAAGCACAAATTTGTACATTTTTTGTGTAATAACTTCATGGTTTATTCCTTGTTTTATCATGCCAGTAATTGATTGAACATGTGGCCAAGTAACATCTTAAGACGGGGGTGGGCAATTATTTTGGGTGGAGGACCACTTACTGAGTTTTGGCAAGCCATCGAGGACCACATGATAAATGCTAGGAGCTAGGAGCAGATAAATATTAATTTTCTAAAATTTTTAGGGGCACCGCAGGCCAGATAGAATGGCCTGGCGGGCCGCATCTGGCCCACAGGTCGCATTTTGCCCGCCCCTGTCTTAAGATGTGATTAACTAGTTAATCATATCTTAAGTGTAACTTATGCCAGGAGCCTTAGTTTATTTAAAATAAACAGTCTGATCATATCACATTGGACACACTGGACTCAAGGAAAAATCATTGCAATTACAACTCAGTTCAAGTCAAAACTTAGAATGCCAGGGACCTGCCAGGAAGCAATTTGTTACCCAACTGAATAAAATCAGGTTTGCAAACTTTTTATTTTTAACAAAGGAAAGAAGCCTTTTTGAGGCTAAAGGAACGGAGCTGCGCATGAAACAGAGAGACAAGTGTAATAACTATGAAAGAACATAAGTAGTGAAATGGAAGGCGATTACCTAAGTGAAAAAGGAAAGGATGAAGTTGTGTGCATCACACAATATCCCATTTCAGATTCAAACAATAGTGATGCTTTGTTCTAGGGCAAGTATGATACAAAAAAGAAGGTAGACTGGCAGAGCTGGTGCCAGGGTTGAAGAGGTCACAAGACATAACCCAACTTAGAACTCTTTCCTACATGTAACATTTTTATTTGCACATAAAAACAAAGGTTAGTGGCTTCTTGCCCTTTTTGCTGTCACTTTACCACATCACTTTTCTTGACATAAAAGTCACTTTTTGTAACAACCATCTTCTGTAGTATGTTTTAAATACCAACGTACTTCCCAGAACCTCCCCAATTTACCCTTTGACCTCTCATAGTTTTGCACAAAAGTTGATTTAAAAGCTTTGTACTCCCAACTGTGACCTTAAGTAAAGTGCGCAGTCTTCCTACTGTGTTCTTCCTTCCCAAGATTCCACAAGTTCCTCTGAGCCGTGCCTCCAGTTACAAACCAAGAATACAAGCTCTCTGTGCAGATCTAACAATACATGCTCTTTGTTCCTCCAATTCCATACATTGGCTAACAATTCTCCAGGGTTCATTACTTAAAATGAAATCTGTCTTTCAAGGAGCATTCTGACACAGCATCATTTTAGAGCATGCTCATAACAAGTAATGCTTGGGAGAGTGTGAATGGTCAATAGTCTTACTAATGCATGCATTAATAGGACAGTAATATAGTAACAGACTCCACTTGAGGATTCAACTAAACATGTGAACTGATTCAGGCTGAATTGCTGATCAAGTTAAGGGAAAACTACCCCTAAAGTGAATTAAATACAAAAGAAAAAAGCAAAAGACAGCAAAATCTATACATTACAATTTGGCTTATACTTTTAAAGAACACTTTATTCACCTTATTAAATAAAACAAGGGGTAACTATCTTGTATTTCTTGTAAATACTAGTTTTAATCAGTTTCATTCACAATACAACAACTGTATAAAACAATGGGCATATCTAAACATGCAATTAATGGGCCTGAATTTTTTGCGCAGAATTAAACTGCGCCCGGAAACGCATCTGAACTTGCACCTGTTGGAAGCCAATTTGCTCCCAGTGGGAGCAGTTTAGTCTAGGGCTACTCCTGCCCTGCTCTGCCCCACTGCAGCAGCTAGTGGGAGCTCCAAGCTCCCCCAGGTGCCAGCCCTGGGCTTGCAGGGGGTACAGGAGTCAGGCCTGGGCTCTGTGGGGTGGGTGAAGCTATCCTGCAGATACAGGCAGACCTAGACAGGCTTGCAAGTTGGGCCGACCGGAACCAGATGAAGTTCAATGTCAAGAAATGTAAAATGCTCCACCTGGGGATGAACAATCCCCTGCACACCTACAGGCTTGACAATGCCAACGTGGCCAGCATTACGAATGAAAGGGTCGTGGGGGTAATAATAGACCAGAATATGAACATGAGCTGGCAGTGCAATGCTATAGCCAGCAGAGCTAACAATACCATGGCATGCATCAATCGATGTAACTCCCGCAAAACCATAGAAGTGATTTTTCCACTCTACTCGGCATTGGTGAGACCACAGCTGGAGTACTGCATCCAGTACTGGATGCCACACTTCAAAAAGGACGTGGTAAAGCTTGAGAAAGTCCAGAGAAGGGCCACCCATATAATCAGAAACCTGTGTGGCAAGCCATACAAGGAAAGGTTGAGGGATCTGGGACTCTTCAGCCTGAAAAAAAGAAGGCCGAGAGGGGGCTTAGCAGCAGCTTACCAATATATCAGAGGCGTACAACAAGGGCTTGGTGAACAACTATTCACCATGGCGCCCTTGAGGAAAACTAGGAGTAATGGTCACAAAAGCCATTGGGCAGGCTCAACATTGGGAAAAAATTCTTCA